GAGTGTCCCACAAGAGTGTCCTACAAGAGTGTCCTACAAGAGTGTCCCACAAGAGTTTCCTACAAGAGTGTCACGCAAGAGTGTCCCACAAGAGTGTCCTACAAGAGTATCCCACAAGAGTATCCCACAAGAGTGTCCCACAAGAGTGTCCTACAAGAGTGTCCCACAAGAGTGTCCTACAAGAGTGTCCCACGAGAGTGTCCTACAAGAGTGTCCCACAAGAGTGTCCTACAAGAGTGCCTTTCAGGAGTGTCCCACAAGAGTGTCCTGTAAGAGTGTTCCACAAGAGTGTCCTACAAGAAGAGTGACCCACAAGAGTATCCTACAAGAGTGTCCCACAAGAGTGTCCTACAAGAGTGTCATTTGGACATATGTAGCTTTTCGAACGTGTTTGCATTCGGGTTCGTGGGCTCCATCTTGTTTTTTGTTGGGGGGGGTATACCCTGGATATCTCTGGATTACTGGAGTTTGGGCTGGTTCTGGCTGGTTTACCGACCTTGGGAATCGAGGGGTCGATACCTCAAATACACTCCAATGATCATCCCCTCTATGAGCCTCTATGAGTCAACCCACGAGTAAAAGGCCATCTATGGGTCCAGCCCGCCTCAGCGGTCCGTCCGGTGGCCCTGTGAATCCGTCCCGTCGCTGGAATTCCGTCAGACACTCATCCGCAGCTCATCGAGGGCTTATATATTGTTCCTAGTGGCGATGGCCTCCAACCTACTAGCTTCTTGCTACTAGTGAATATATAGACCTTTGTTCATATTGCAATGGCCAAATCCTAACATCCAAAGCTTCACAACCACGACCCAATAAGTCATCGACATCCATGCCGCTGCTCCGATATTCGTCGATGCCATGTGTGTTAGCATGGGGGTCTTTCGCCCTATCTGATCATCCTTGCATCGGTGAGATATGCCCTCCCCCAAGCAGAAGGGCCCTTTCCCACTGAAATATTTCAAGCAGCACCCCCCCCAAGGAAACAGCATGGAACAGCTAGGGGGTGGGCTTTGTGAGATATCATGCTGTCGTTTTTGAGCAACCTGATTGATTTACGGAAAGCTGTTTAGTAAAGGACCCGACATTGGGATTGCAGAATTTGCATTTTACTTGGAAAACGATGATACAATCATCAAAAAACGATGCATATTGATAGCATCATTCTAGGAAAGCTTAGTTTGCATAGCTGCAGTGCACGTTTTTAACCATGAAGACCATCAGGGAACCTCGTTTCTGCTTAGTGTAGCCTTTCCCAAAGGTATTTTTGACTTCGGACTTTGGCGTTAGGTTTGTCCGATATGTAGCTGTAGTCAAACGATAACCTAAACGATAACCAAACGATATCGTAAATGTAGACGAACCTGTGCTACAAAACCAGTGCCCCACTTGTATCTGAAACATATCTTCCAAACAAGCTCAAGACATGGCTGGTCTACTACTTCTACTACTACTGCTACTACTACTACTACTGCTTCTACTTCTACTACTACTACTTCTTCTACTACTACTGCCACTACTACTACTACTACTACTACTACTACTACTACTACCACAACAACAACCACAACCACAACCACGACGACGACTACTACTGCTAGTACTGCTCCTCCTCCTCCTGCTGCTGCTGCCGACACTGCGACTGCCACTGCCACTGCTACTGCTCCTACTGCCACTACCACTACTGCTGCAACTACTAGTACTACTAGTACCACTACTACTACTGCTACTACGACTACTACCACTACTACTGCCACTAGTACTATTGCCACTACTACTGCCACTAGTACTACTAGTGCTACTAGTGCTACTAGTACTACTAGCACTACTACTACTACTACTCCTCCTGCTGCTACTATTTCTACTCCTACTGCTACTGCTACTACTGCCCCCACCAAACGGCGACAAGTCAAAAAAAATGCTGGTGCTGTGTGTAGCGATGCCACCATTAAAGGCGATACCGGCGATACCCATGACCTTACCACACAGAAGGAGCTTGACCGTCGCACGTCTGCTTCCATGTCCAAAAAGTATGTCGCATTGTGAAAACAACCTGTAACATAAGTAAGGTTCAAAACGTGGAAAACGATAATACACTCACCAAATTGAAATGTGCAAGGCCAACATAACAAATAAACAGCGTCGCTCTTGACTTGCTCAACTACACAGCATTGCTGCCACTGTCTCACTCCAACCTCAATGGCCCGCTGGGTTCCAATTGAAGGGTCCAACGTGTCCAAGCAACGGTGTGCTAAAGGCATGTGAGAGAAAGAAGATGTGATCAAACATGAAAGACTCTTCAGGGTATCAATACAATCACCACACTTTTAATAGATCTTAATAGTACATAGTACTTCTAGGAGGACTCTTCAGAGGGCTCTTCGTTTTCCCTGCAGTTAAGTAGGATGGTGATGAATGGGCGAAGCCTCTTAGCATTGGAGATCATAGGCCTGTAGTTTTGCATGCCTTTCTGGGTGTCTGAGTATATGGCTACGAGCTGGGATGGACATCCCAACTGGTTCCCAGGTGTTTGGAAAACATGGCCGTGTTTCTTTCTATTCACCCCGCTGCACCACAAACTCACCTACAATGATTTGCGACTTCCGACATGCCTGCGACACCCACAAAGCTACGCAAATGGCACAACTTCAATTAAACTGGATACATGACAGCTAAAGTTCTCTCTTCGCCTCTTCGTTTAATTTCCTTCACCTCTGATTAATGTTGCTGGGATTCCAAAAGCTCGTCACTTCTTTGGAAATGCTATCATCTATTCTGAAACTACAGCCCTAATTAGGGACTGTCTGTTTGGCTGGAACTTAGTAGCCACAGCATGTGTCTGCCGAGGCTGAAGATAGGCCCAAGTTCACCTGCCAAAGGGAGGGTTCCGGCCATTTCCGCACTTGCAAAGGATCCAACCCACCGGCTGACTCCAAGATCCACCGGCTTCGTGCCAAACTCGGTGCCTGAGGACTCGTTGGAACTTCTCCTCCTGAAGAGGTGACCAAAGACCAACAGATTTGGCAAATGTTGATCCATTGTTCCTGAGAATACCCTCCATATAATGCCTTCCATGGTATCTATTATTTGATCCGTTTTAGGATTCGTTTGAGGAAAGGATCAATGGGATTGGCACAATCCATATATATATAATACCTTTCCTCTAACGCTTCCAAAACCTTCCCGGAATAGCATTGAACAACGACGTAAGAGCTGCTTCCGGTCAACCCACGGATTGCTCTTTTGAATGTGTTATGTATTAAAATCATTATTGCAAACACATATTCTAAACAACTATCACAAGAACATACAAGAACCCACCTTCCAAATCTTCCTTCTTGCCTAGCAACTTTCGGCATGTACCAGTTTCCAACATGCAACAACTTATTGAATCGAAGGACCCAAAGGAGCTCCTACACCTCCCTTGGTCGAATCGCTCATGCCACCTTTCTTCGTTTCTCGGCCCCGACATGCGAAAGAGGATTGACCGAAGACGTCTGAACATTCCAATGTCCGCATACAGTCCAAAGAAATGGAGGGTCTGGCTGCTCCGCTTAAATATGCCACGCCGGCCTAGACTCAGGGTGTCTACTTTTGCAACCCCACATAACATTGGAGTTCCTTGATCTTCAGCTCCCCAAATGGAGAGAAAACCATATCCATGATCAACTGTTCCACCAATTTTGTCACGAATCTCCCACTCCCTGCTGTCGCAGCTCCTGCTGTCTGGCCTTCTCTGACATCTCCTTGTTGGCACCCCGACCGGCAGTAGGAGACACCAAAAAGAACGATGTTTTGTTGTTGGTCCGATCGCAAATCGGTGTTGATTGCCATTGACAAATGAGATTGTTTGATGTTTGGTGTTTGTTTTTTGGCAATGATTTTCCTCTTGCTTGACATCAAAGGCTGGACCTACCTGAAGTGTTGCTGTTCAACACATGTCGCATGTCTAGATGATTCATACAGGTGAAAGTGAGAAAAGGTGCTTTCTACATGCCACAAGCTTGCATCATGTCCTTCCAGGTGAGGTCGCTTGTCTGAATGTTGCAGTTTGCTTGCCTGTCTCTAGAAAAGCTGCCAAGGCTTTGAGCGTTAGTTGAGTAGTTCCATGTCGCCCCGTATACAGTATATAAGCCAAAGGTAAAAATGTTCCAAGTGTCTACAGAGACTGCAGTCTACGGTATATACACTCCCTAACATGGAAGTGGAAAACCCCCCTGTTTGTAACGGACAGTTGTCTTCCAAGGGACCATTGTCCACTTCCATGTTGTGAGTCCGAGTGTATGTAAACTGACTAGTTCCTGCCCTCCCTCTGTCGCTCCTCCTGCTCCGAATTCTGCGCGACCTGCACAAAAGAGTAAGAACCGCCCAGCACATGTGCTTAGTTTGACAATCTTAGGCTCCTTATATGCTGGACATGAGCCTCTTTAAAAAGGTTGTGGGTCAAACCTTGGGAAGATTCGATTCAGTTTTTTTGGTTTTGACATGTCTTGATCCACGGCCACATCATCACTATCGAGAAAGCACCTTTTACATGCTTCTACCATGGGGCTATGGAATGTTCCATGTCAACACAAAATTGAGAGCTGATGGCCTTCAACCTAATAGCAATGGCCTCCAACCGACTCCAACCTACAATATCTTCAATGTGGGTATGGAAAGTTCCATGCTGTCAACACAAAATTGAGAGCACACATAGACTGAATCCCGAGGGCCGGGCTCTGCGGTGTGGACCGAACGACCAGCGGATGGACAGCGAGGTCATGGGAACACTCTCCCAAACACTAAGTGGGACTGGCATATATACCTACTTTACGGTGGTTTCAGGGATCAAAGCTCAGGGATCCAAGTAGAGTGGCTTCAGAGTAGATGGCACAATCCCCAAGAGGTGGTTTCTGTGGACCCCCACCTGAAGGACATCTGGGGTTTGTGCCATCTACTCTGAGAACACTGTACCTCCTTAGAAGGTGTTTGGACCCCCCAAGCCTACATAAAGGTGTATATGGATCCATAGGGAATGTAAGTGTGTATTGAATATATATATATATTGTAATACACAACATTATTACATTGTCTAATACCTGAATCCCATATGTGACATGGAGTGCTGGGTTATGGGCATCTATAGACTGAGGGATCGTAAAGGGATATACACCTGCAACAATACACTTGCATGCCGGACAGGATGCTGTTAGAGGATATGATGATATACATTGATATGTATATAGTCAAAGGAAGTTTAGTGAACGAAACTTCCGTGTTACGGACATTCAAGAACTGTTCATACACCACTCATCAATACACCACTCATCAAACACCACTCATCATACACCACTCATCATACACCACTCATCACACACCACTGATCATACACCACTCATCAATACACCACTCATCAAGACACCACTCATCATACACCACTCATCACACACCACTCATCATACACCACTTATCATACACCACTCATCAAACACCACTCATCATACACCACTCACCATACACCACTCATCACACACAACTGATCATACACCACTCATCAATACACCACTCATCAAGACACCACTCATCATACACCACTCATCAATACACCACTCATCAAGACACCACTCATCATACACCACTCATCATACACCACTCATCATACACCACTCAACATACACCACTCATCATACACCACTCATCATACACCACTCATCATACACCACTCATCATACACCACTCATCACACACCACTCATCATACACCACTCATCATACACCACTCATCATACACCACTCATCATACACCACTCATCATACACCACTCATCATACACCACTCATCATACACCACTCATCGTACACCACTTATCATACACCACTCATCATACACCACTCATCATACACCACTGATCATACACCACTTATCATACACCACTCATCATACACCTCTCACCATACACCACTCATCATACACCACTCAACATACACCGCTCAACATACACCACTCATCACCCAGTTAGCTCTAGTTTCAAGAGCTCTAGCTCCAGTTAGCTCTAGTTGCAAGAGCTCTAGCTCCACATAGCTCTAGTTTCAATAGCTCTAGCTCCAGGTAGCTCTAGTTTCAAGAGCTCTAGCTCCAGTTAGCTCTAGTTTCGATAGCTCTAGCTCCAGTTTACGCGGCAGGCGCAGCACTTTGAAAACCTCCATGTGCAGATTTCGTGGCAGGCACAGCACTTTGTGAACCTCCATGTGCAGAGTTCGTGGCAGGCACAGCACTGTGTGAACCTCGAGGTGCAGATTTCGTGGCAGGCACAGCACTTTGTGACCTCCATGTGCAGATTTCGTGGCAGGCACAGCACTTTGTGAACCTCCATGTGCAGATTTCGCGGCAGGCACAGCATCTGCGGAGGAGAGCTGGCGACTTTGTAGTACAACTTTAGCACGCAGAGTATCAGGGGAGCTGGAAGATGAGAACTGGCAACTTGTAGTACAACTTTAGTACGCGGAGTATCTGGGGAGCTGGAAGATGAGAACTGGCGACTTTCTAGTACAACTTTAGTACGCGGAGCAATCTGTGGAGCTGGAAGCTGAGATCTGGCGACTTTGTAGTACAACTTTAGTACGCGGAGTATCTGTGGAGCTGGAAGCTGAGAACTGGCGACTTTGTAGTACAACCCTAGTACGCGGAGCAAGCCGTGGAGCTGGAAGCTGAGAACTGCCGACTTTGTAGTACAACTTTAGTACGCGGCCGAGTCATCTCTATTCTGTATTTTGCAAGATGCAAGACAGTTGACGGTGGTTGCTTCGCTTTCGCTCCATTGGTCGGTTCCAACTTGGTTTGTCAAAGAACATCGCAGGTCGGCGAATCAGCCTGCCACATGCCCTTTGCCTATTGGTTTATTATTTTGGAAACTTCCGCCGCCGGCTTGCCCGGGAACTACTTGTATATATACATACTATATCATATACTATATTCCTCTACAAGGTGGAAACGATGTACGGCTATGTCAATGTGACTTAAAGTGGAAGTACAGTATAGTGTACCACGGACCACGACGTGTTCTCCCACTGCTTCAACACAGCCTTCTTCGTTCACAAAGCCGGCGAAGCCGCGCGTGGTAAGTCCTGCGCCTCATCTTGCCGCATCAGCACATTGAGCCCAACGGTGCCGCCTTCGGGACGCCCAGCAGTGAATGAGTCGATGATCAAACGTGGGAGATGGATCCCCAGATTCAGCACAGTGGGCCATCTACTGTAGCTATCTTGGTGAACTGCCTGCCATGAAGGTGACTTGAATGGTTTTAATGGGTCATAATGGATTCCTATCTAGACTGTTCGGCTGTGTCGTGCACCATCGACAGCACTCATTATATCTGCGGCAATCTCCGAAGATTTGGATAGGGATTGTAAAGTGATTGTAAAGTGGTGGTGGTGGTGGTGGTGGTGGTGGTGGTGGTGGTGTTCAAACAGAGTCCTGAACGATGGATTGTTGAAAATCAGATCAATTGCCACACTCCAAATAGTATATGTAGTTCACGGTGGATATTGAATGGATATTGCGTTGCTGAATGGGGTCAAGTTTGGTTACCACTGACTCACAGTCCCAGGCTTGGACACCAGATTGTTGTTGAGACAGCATCACATAGGATGACACGACACGGAACCCGCCGATCTTTTTTCGGTCCTTAGTTCTGTCTATAGTAAATTATAGCGCCGTGGTCTTGGAAAGCATAATATGATGGCGAGACACAGCAGGCGATGAGGCAAATCCTTCGGTTGGTTCTTGACTCGGTGGTGTGAAACCAAGCAAAACACACACATCGAATATCTCGTGAAAAACTCCCTTTACTTAGAACTATATATATAACCATGTTGAAAAAATGCTGCAAACGAAAAAGAACCTTCAATGTTCGATGTTGATTTAGGAAGGTCAAGTGAGATCATTACCTGCTATAGAACGTCCTATATGTATATTATATAAGAAGCTAGTAGTAACAAGTGCCACGCTACTAGGAACAGGTGCCTTACTAGTAGTAACAAGAAGCTAGTAGGAACAAGTGCATCGCTACTAGTAACAAGTGCCTTACTAGTAGTAACAATATTTGCTATTGCATTTTCACGACCCTTTGCGTTTGCGTTCTGGGCCAGGGATTCCCTCCGGCGCATTCCGACGGCCCGGACGCCGCACCGCGGGGGAAGCGGGAGACTCCTCTGGATCGGGTGGAGACCTCGCCTTTTCCATCCCGGTGTGGACCGTCACATGGCTTTCATGGCTTTGTTAGCTAGTGACTAGTGTTGAGAGACAGTGGACATACTGAGAAACGGTGAGGAAGAGGCGGTTGAACATGCCCAGTTCCAGTCTATTCAAACCCGCCGTGGAGATTTCCCCCAAATGATCAAACATCGATGACATCTGCTTGGGCTCCTGAAGGCACAAAAATACTTCCAAAACGTTCAACGTCCAGAAACAACTTGTCTTCACCTTAAGATATTGATGATCGGACCATGTGGAACCATCTATTTGGGGAGGAGAAGAGGCAGCTGCAGTGTTGTCTACCAAGGAGCACGCTGCAGTGTTGCAAGTTTCGGGACGAGATTGAATTCCTTGGATGAACTGAACAGGCCAAAACGTCAACACAAAGAGAGGGGCCAATTGAACTGAGTTTCACCCAAAACCCCTGACGGTAGGGGTGCTTTTCTTACGCACGCGAGAGAGAGATCCGCTTGTACAGGAGCAGTTTTCCATGGTCTGGAATTCTCTCCTCTACAGCTTGCGCTATGGTAGCTACCAGGAACTACTCCATCTAATAAATTCCACACCCAGTACAACTACTCATCAGTCGGACCAAACTAGTGATCGTTCAGATGGAAGCCCTACCTCACAAATCTCAGGGTTCCTTGGAGTGTCAGTGTCTCCCAAGAATTTGTGAGTTGCTAAATCCCATAGACAATCATCTTGACAACCCCCACGAATGACTCAACATGTTGTTGACAAAATTCATGTTCATTTACAAGGTGGGCCTGCTTGTCTGCTTGTCTGTTCCATTTCCATTAACTACAGTAGTTTTCCAGGAATCCAAGAAAACACCCATATACCAACACCCACATCAAAACCATTCAATACCCACATCTGTTCCATGTCTACACCAACGAACCCCTCTGTCCGACGCCGCAAGTCCTCGCCCGAGTCCACTCGGCTGAAGGTCCGAGAGATGCTCCTGGGGAGCGAGCAGACCGTTTTCCGGAAACACCGAAGTCGGCGCCGAAGAAGCAACTCCCCACTACTAGGCTTGACTTGGGCCTGTGATGTGTGTGTGTGATTATATAGAGTATTGGCCAGCGATTTATTTATATACATATATGATATATGTATATATATATATATATAGCCTTCCAAGACCACTTAATGCCTTAGCAAAACAATGGTTGCTTGATGTTGTTTGGTAAGAACCGTAAAATTATAGGGTATATATATATATATCTCAAGTGTCATGGGTTTGTCCAGAATTGAGGTGTTCAAGGTCTATTGAAGGTCCGGTGCCCGACATTAAGATGATGCTCATTCCAACCTTGTTGCCTGTTGCCTTAACGTTCGTACTTGGAATACTCGCAGGTCTAACACCTGCAATAATTGGACAAACAAACCTCCGAAAGTGCCTCCTGTTTGGACCAAAACCCTGCGGAGTCCGAGGACAAACCTACTCGGCCAATCCGAAGACCGCTGCAAACCGCACCTCCGGTCCAAATGATCACCGAACGGAGACCCTGGTGTCAATGAATTGGTTTCAGGGAAAGTCTACAGGAAACCCTGGTTTTCACCCCCAAAACTATGGACTTCCTGTAGATGCTCCCTGAAACCAATTCAGGGATGGTACTGCATGTCATCGGCGAAACCCTGCAAAGCCCCTGCTTTGCCCAGAAGACATCATCGTGCTGGAGCTTGTCTGGCTGTGGCCATTGGATGCCATTGGATGCCATTGGTCATCATCTTTACAAAGTGCTCCTGAAATACTTCAATGTCAAGTCTCCTGGTTGTGCCCTCCTCCAATACATCATCATAAATCATAAGATTGCTTGGTTGCGGTTGTGGTGATGGTTGTTCTTGTTGCAGCTGACATTCTCTTTACTCCAAGACTCCAAGCTTGACAATCTATTGGATTGCTTAAGATGTAGATTGTAGATCTGCTTCCAAGCTTTGAAGTTCAATGTCTTTTCATCTAAACCGTTCCCTCCCCGTCACCGGTCACGTCCACGGCCGGTCCTCGGAAGCACTGAACTGGCACTGCGGAGGATCGACCTGGTCGAGAGACCAGCGGTACGGTGGTTTGGCGGCATGTTTGGCCCAAAAAAGATAGGGTACAAGAAAATACAAGAAGTAATTACTAATCAGCATCCAACACATGCAAGATGAATCTGGGTGTCACTTTTGGTGTCACATGCAAGGCTTGGAAGGACCGACACCTTGACTTGGCCACATAGGGCCATGGGGGAATAGGGGCGACGGTAGGCTTCAGTTGGTAGTAAGTAGGATGGCAAAGGATAGCAGTTGGTAGAAATCTTCCATGATCTTCCCAACCCCACGACCCCAAGCATGTTCTTCCCATGTTTTCCCTACAGTGTTGGCAGTGTCGACTTTGTTTTGTTTCTTTTTTGGGCTCTCACATCCTCTCAGCATTTCTTCTAACGATCTCACGGCATCCCCACGAGCGAAAGCCGCGGCTGGGGCTGCGCGAGGGGCTGCGACTGGCGGGAGTTCGACAGGTGGCGGACTTTGACAGCGGTGGGTCCTGACCCTCGGTGCATGGAACCTCCAGTCCACAAGCCTCCATACATTTCAATCTGGGTCAATGCAGGTAATTCGATGTGGAGTCGGAGAGTGGGACTGACCTTTCAGGAAAGTGAGAGGGGAAAGATCCGACCAAAGGTTGCTGGTTTCCCTACAAAGAACATAGAAAGGTGGTGTGCGTCTTGAGTTTCTCAGGAGGTAGTTGTTGGTGTGGCAAATGATCCGTACAACCTGCATATGCCATGTCTGTTTCCTGGAAGGTTGCTTGAAAACTACGACATACTGGTTTTGGGCGGCTTCTAAGTGAGTGTTCGGAAACAATAGGGTTGACAGGTCTTTTAGCAAACATCCGAGATCCCAACATCAAGTGAACTAACATCCCAAGATCTGTCCAAGGTCTGTGCATGTTAGCAAAACCCAAACATTCACTGGAGGAACTTGGTATTCTGGCTGCCATTTCTCCGAGCCGAAGAAATGGATTTAATATGATTCAACCAATGTCTTCCTGTAACCCGGTGGAAGGGATCGTCTACCGGCTTCGTCCGGTCCCGACCTTCGGAACTTGGTAGGAACAGGGCCAGAATGTTCCTCAAAAGAAACAGTGCAAAAGAAATGCACGGCTTCAGAAATTGGAGGCCGAGTAAGCCTAACAGTCTAACGCAAGCCTAGCCAAGAGGATTATCTCAAACAAATTTAGCTCAATTCTTAGTGATTCTTACCTTGAAGCTGATTTGCAGAAACCACCTGCGCAAAACAAACAAATGTCTGAGCTTTGCATCCTTTTTGGTGTCTTTGAAGGCTTGAAAACAAGTTAACAAGTTTGGACCAGAAAAAGCATTCTATTCCAGTGTCGATGGTCATGCAGCCCTGGCCCATGAATTTCCTCGCCAGATTCTACATGACTAAAATGACATATATATATATGGTGGTTGTCCAATATTCTTGTTTATTGAAACGGCCATTCTTCGCGAAAAAAACATTAACATTCGCGAAACTTTCGCGAACCCTGTGTTTTTCTTTCGCGGGGGTTCACCATGTCATGAAACCATTTAACCTGGTAGGGACTCGATTTCTAAATACAGTTTGTGGGGTTGCTATGGGCTACGGGGTTCCTCTGGAGCCGATTCATTCGCCGAAACCTTCGCCAGACTTTCGCGAAACTTTCGCGAAATAATCCCTGTGCTTTGGAGGTTTTTACGGCATACATAACATAGGGTGGACTACATGAAACAGGAAGGAAGCTTCACACGGATTCCAAAGTTGAAGCTGCTGACGGTCAGAAAAGGATGTGGTTATGCATGGGGCAAGCCTGAAGGCTCACCAAAGAACATACAATAAAAATTCATACTTTCGCGAATCTTTCGCGAAAAAAACATTAACATTCGCGAACTCGAAAAAAAACTTTCGCGAGACCCACGATCATGTCATCCAAGGCTCTCGACATAAAAAACCCTTACAAGGACCTTTTGGATAACTCCCATATATTTATAGTTTATATACACATTATAAATATATAATACATGGTTCAAAGTTCACCCTCGCTTGGGGTTTCATAACGCCGCCTTGCTTGGAATGCCTTTGGATCCTCAGACCCACCGGAAACCTCCTCCCACGGTTCACCTTCCCAACACCTCCAAGCTCGTCTCCTCATGCCTGGGCCATTCAAGTGCTTCTTAGGTGTGAACGAACAGAATACACCTCTTGTTTGAGTCACAAATTGCACTGGGAGGGAGCATTCATCCACAGTCCAAGGACGAAGCTACCATGGACCGCACCAAACTACCAAACATGGTAGCACCGAGTAACACGGTCTACTGAGTCTACTGATCCTATAAAACCAGCCAACCCCACACTCCAGGTCAGGAAACATCGGAAAATAAGCGAGCTCTGAAACCACTCCAATGCAGGATCTTCCATACCAGCACCCGACTTCAAGACCTGTAGAGTAAGGTACGAGACTACATGGAGTGATGTTCTGGTGCTGCCACCCACGTTTCACGATCAGCCAAGGAATCAGCACACATTATTGCCATACATATTCGGGTTCAACGACAGTCATGCGGCCATCGCAGCCAGTGTCGAGAAACGTGTCGAAGACCGAAAAGGTTGATCCTTTGTTTAACCTTTGTCTCTGCTTTGATCATTGAAGGCTCAACGGAGGGCGCGTGGAGAAAGGGGGTCAGCCAAAATCGCCTGTACGAAGTTAGTGCATCAAAAATACCTTCTACGAAGTTCTACGAAGGTTTCTGGGATTTTGTTGCAGTCAGTTTTCCTACTGGCCCACCATTCCACGAAACGTCCACGAATAGCCCCGGGTTCCACGAATGACCTGCGCCTTCCACGATGTTAGTAGAATAGGTTTTTGCAAAACTCTTTCTGTGCACTACCCTTCCGTTTGCCTCTGAATCATGCTTTGTTCATTAATTGTGTTTTTATTTGATCATGAACTGATGTTCATCTGTCTCTGCTTTGCCTTTTTCATCTGTCCAAAGCATTCCAGCCCCACCCTTTCATTGGGTTCCGCCCAACCTGGGCTCCACCTGTCCCGCCTGTCACCGAACTGCACCGACTTCCTCCGCTCGCGTGGTCGGTAGAGCCAGGTGTCCACCTCGTGTGAGCGTCTTTTCGGACCCATCCAAGTGAGTGGGCACTCCTATCTGCCATTAAGCACCAACTGCTGGAACTGCTGGAGAGAGGCCTTTCTGCACCTCCTACTGCACCAATTTTTGGAGGCCGAAAGAAGAAGTCCAGCCCTCGAGGTGGAGGTTTTTTGAGTCTTAAGCAAGTGATTCGGTTTGGACATCCAAAGCTGGTAACCCCTTCCAATTCTGAATTATGAAACCAAAGGTAGACTGGCTGCTCTTTGAAGTGTTGACTGGGATTCACAAGGGGCACTAAGTGAACCAAGCAACATGGGTTTGCCAAAGCTGATCCTTTTTTGGGTTGGCACATGGCACCAAGGAGCCAAGGAGTGTAGCAGTGTAGTCGCTGGGAATTTCTGGTCTGTAGAATATCGGGACTTGCCCAACCCAAGTCACCCCAAGTCCTCGGGAGAAACTCCGGGTTGGGTGTTATATGTATTGTTATGTTAGTATGCAGACGTGGAACAGTGGAATGGCCACTTTCTTCAGACTTAGACAACGCTATTAGGGTAGGGCTGGAGATTTAATGTCTTGATACTGAGCCGTAGTACTGAGCCATTTGAGGACTCTCAGAAATGAGTCTACGTGCCCCTTCACAGCACCCACCAAAACCTGCTCTAGCTGACCGGCAAAACAAAACAACCAAAACACGCACTCTTGCCTGGCCCTTGCCCTTCATCTCCTCAGTCATTGGTGGAACAGGTGGGACACAACAACGCCAGCTATAAGATATGTCGATTCCCTGGTCCATTCGATCTTCGTTGGACCCAAACGGGAGTGGATCCACCAGGACACCCGGACATGGCTTCGCTAGGGGTAGAGCTGATAGGGCAACTGGACTCACACCAACAACCAGCATACTGGTCATGGATGATTTTCACAGGGTGCGTTCTTCTTCTTCTTCTGATTCTTCTTTGTCAGACAGAGTTGATTGGCCTGAACCCTCCTTCAGACCATTCCACAGCGCGTCTTTGTCGACTGACAATGCTGGAGTTGGTTTCTCAAACCTTTGAACCTCATGGCTGTTGCCTTTGCGTCCACTTTGCGACCGTCTTGCACATGTTACATGTGTCACTCAAAGTTGCAATGGTGTTACTAGAAGTAGTTAAGAACTTGTTGCAATTCACTAACTAGTTTGCAACCTTGTTTTAATAGGTGTTAACATGTGTTAACTACGACCTAATCAGTTATGATAGACTAATGTTACGTGATGTACTAAAAATCTAAAAACAAATAGCTAAATATGTCAGCCAACATAGTCGTTAATTAACTAACAGGGTGATAAAGGGTTAGCCCGTAGTTTAAACCGCGTTACGAATGACATGTTCCATTAAACAATTGATGTTTGATAAAATTAGACGTACTATTTCAGAAATATAAAACTATGCAGCCTTTCAATTTCTTGAAGCAATACCATCAGCCTGAGGGCTCAACATCACGGGCTATTGAAGGCGTTGTGCGCAACCTTTCGCACAACTTTAGCCATTAGTTTGATGCTGCACACAGATGTAGGCGAGGGCGCATTAGCCTTGTGGCTCAACTTGTTGTTCTTTCCTGGATCGTATTCAAAACATTAGCCATTGTGGGCTGGCTGCAGCATATTCAAATGTTTGTTGCCAATGCTTTGTGTACCGAGAATCCATGGACAACAAGAATCATTTGAACCAAAGCAGAAGAGAACTTGAGGTCCCCTCGGAGTCTTGGCCAATTTTCATTCCAAGTAAGTAAGTAAGTAAGTAAGTAGTCAAGTGGCGGTTTATATGAGCACCCGTCACCCTGCAACAAGGAGTCGAAAATTTTGAACCAAGAGTTTGGGGGGACCTCAAAAAGCGTTTTCAACAACCTAGGGCGCACCTTCCTTGCCAGCTCCGCGTGAAGCTCCACACGGCGTTTCGACTGAAGCTGCTAAGCTTCTTCGAGGTGCCAAGAGGCACAGATTCAATGCGAAACAGCTTGGCGATGGCCCAGTGCATCGCACCAACTTCGTCGCGTCCTTGTGCTGCCCCGCTGAATACGCACGTTTGGCCGTTTGGCTTGCAGATCATTGGGAAAGCGGCCAAGTGACTGTTCCTTGGATCCAGAATCGAGAACTAAAACAGCTTGGCGCTGTTGCACGCACGGCGCAGCGCGGCCTGCAACATGTCCTCTGTCTTGTCCCTTGGTTCTCTGACATTCTCCGGCATCTCTTGCTTTTGCTCGTTTGACAAGGTAATGTTTTTCTTCCAAAGCGGTCTCAAACGCACTAGGAAAAAACACATTTAGAGGATTTGGTCTGCAAATCCTTTTCGATTTTACAGTGTTCCTCAGCATTCTGTAAAATTCCCGAATATGTTCCCAATTCCCAATATCAGTTTGTTCGAACTATATGTCGACTAACCTCTGACAATCATTCATCTACCTCCTTCAAACCCTTCCATGTGTTTTGTTTGCCAATGCATGTTTCATCCCTGCCAATGGGCGGGCTATGCAACAAAACACGCAACATTGGCATAATGCCAGCATGTGAGTGACGAAGCAACTAAGGTGCGAGGTAAGCTAAATACGGTGAGGTTTCCATGAAACACATATGGTTTGAAGGCCCATCAAAACCTTGTTGATGTTCCGGCGTTCGCCAAAACACCCCTTCTGAACAAAACGCAGCAGGTCCTAAGACTGTCGCCTCAAATGACCGAACGGTCCACAGCCCTATGGTGGGGCAGAGGATTCTTGGTGCCTTTCATGGCCTTACACAAAACCGTTGACCTAACCTTGCTCACACAACCCTGGAATACTTGCCGACCTTGCCACTGAGTGTGTGGGCACCCAACCGCAAATAACCTCCTCCCTGGTAGTCTTAGCGTCCGCACAATCTTCCCACGGTACTCTGCCTGCGCGGGCTGGTTTTTAGGTGTTCAATGACCTTGCGACCATGTCAGATATGACTACATATTTTATACATCTATTGGATCTAGTAGGGTGTTGCCTTTTTCTTTCGTATCAAAGTCAGTAGCCGAATCTCCCACACTGTGGTTCTGCACAATTTCAGCTACAAAGGTGTGTGTGTGTCCACACCTGTTTCAAAAGAATTTCAACAAGGCAGGGAAACGGCGCGAATCAACAAAGAGGCAGGGGGTGGCAGCAGGAGCGAGAGTCTGCCACCAACGAAGACACTCTCGATTTCCTGGTGATAATGGGACTGATCATCCCAGCGTACCTGCTAATTTTAATTGCCTCGTCAAGTTTCACCCATGTTCAAACATTCAGTTATTCGGACCCAGCACTTCTTACAGTTGAATCAAGTCAAGGTCTACAATGCAGCGGGTAATGTAATCATCTAGAGTGGGACTTCATACTGATCCTAGCTCTTGCGAGCAACCATCTAAGTGTGTATATATAGATACAATACATATGTAGAAATATGGGCACGCATCCCCACTACAATATCGCTACCTGTTAGGGGAGGGGGGACCAAACAAATTGTAAGTTACATTTTTCCTGGGGGGGGTCCTGGTTTGATACCTCAAATATGTAAGCTTATAGCTTTTAAAATGGACGTAGAAAATGTAAGCTTACATTTTTCCCCACATCCCCCATGTGCCTAGGTGATATGTTACCGTTTCAGAGGTACTCTGTAAAATGTAAGTTGCCACGTGCCCACACAGCAAGTTACATTTTTACCACCCCCTCCCCCCCTCCTGCACTCTAAGCAGATCCCTGCCAGCCCACATCACCCCCCCCCCAAAAAAAAGAGCTTAAACTTCCACCGGTCAATCCCCAGGAAAGCCACCGGTCAAAAAGTAGAGGGGGGGTCCAACATACATTTATGGGGCCCCCCAAAAAATGTAACTTACATTTTTTTGCGTCCCCCCTCAAAAACCTGAGGCAAGGGGGTGGCGATACTACAATTACACCCAAGGGGTTAAGTTAAGGCACCCATTTTGTAAGTATATACCTGAGGAGCATACCCCCCTTTACAAAATGAGTAGGCGTGCCAAAATGTCGGCTTTGCAAAATGACAGGTCATGTAAGCACCAATGGCCGGGTAGATGCCCTCTCAATTTTTGGAGAGCTATACTTAGACATTATCCGGGGGTCATGCCCTAACACGTTCTAAGGAAATCACTGTTCAATGTCACATAATGTGGATCTCCTGCCTCAACCTGTCAAAAAAATGCAAAGATCAATTTTCTAACAACATAGCTGCTGGATGTTGCTGGGGTTGTTCACCGCTCTGCCAGCCGATCCATGTCAGTTCAGACCCCCTATCTGTAGGACAAAGTATATGCATCACCGTTGTTTTCTACTGCAACGCGTGCATATATGGCTTGGATGCTGGCTGACACTGTGCATTCACAGCACAATGAAAGTATGTTGCTCTCTTACAAAGGAAAACTACATCTGGCCATTTCTCAATCCGTGGTAACAGGTGTTCGCCCACTAGGGGCGTACCTGCGCGCAAACCTCCTGCAAGGGCTAACATGAACGACCGACGAAGGAAAACCAGACAGGGGTACAAAGACGCAAAACAGGGAGAACCAACAGAAGCAGCAGCAGAAACAAGAGAGTGGTGACAGAGCACCCAGCCAAAAACAAAAACCGAAGCCTAAAAGCCCAGACACACCATCCTTGAGGGGGGGGAGGGTGTGCACAGCCAAACCACACCCTCAGCCCAAGCCACAGCAAGGGGTGGGTAGGGAAGGAAGAGCAACAAGACAAAACAGCAGAGATATGAGCGGGGGAGGGAAGGGGCAATCAGAGAGAACCGGAGAACACAGCCACAAGAACGACAGGCGAGGGAGAGATAGGAGCTCCTGAGGGTCGGCCCCCTCGGAAAACAGGCTTCGGAGACGGCCCTCCGAAGCAACAAGAAGCCACAGGGGTCGGCCCCCCTGGGTACCAATTCGGGTGGAAGGTTAAGGATGAGGCGGACAAGCAAAGAGCAGAAAAGAGTGAGAGAGCAGCGCATGTCGGAGAAAGAAACCGAAGGAGAGGACACATACACAACCGACGTGGTTCGGACCAGTCCTGGCAGACGGCTAGGGTCGAGCGCGCGCATCACGCGACGAGCCCTCGTGCGAAGCGGGTGTCCGTTTTGGACGAGTGCGTCCCTTGCCACTGCTCTTGTGGCCGTTGGATCGGGAAGATCAAGTTCCGAGAGAAGGTTGCGCTGGCAGCCCGAGTATTGGAGCCTTGCCGGTCGAAAGCCGAGATCATGGTCCTTCCCGAATAACGGGTGGAAACACAGAGCAAGGAGGCTCTCCCTGACCAGATATGCCGGGCTCAGGGTGGTTGACCGTCTCCAGGTCCTTTTGAAGGTTAGCCAAAACGCCCAATGCATCGGCAAATTCCGGCTTTTCTCCACGGAGTTTAGAATTATGCACCAGGTGGCCCAGCGGGCCGAGAGATCCTTTTTTGGCTGCGCCCTTAAGGAACAGCACGACAGAACGTCGAGTGGCCTCTGAGCTCTGACGGTGGGCCACCTGAAGGGCCAGGCGCCCAGCAGCCTCGGCAACCCGCACGGCTTGTCGGCTTTGCTTTGAGGTCCCCAACCTTTGCAGGACATGCTAAAAAGTGTGAGACACCGGGCGCGCTACCGGGGATAAACGTGTTGTTTAAGCCGATGAAGCGAAAAAGCGTTTTTTGGCGAAAAACGGCCGAACACAGTGAACAATGAATTGGAAGTGATAGATCTTTGACCGGGTG